CGTGGAGAGATGATGGAGCGAGTGTCCGTTGCTATTGCCTCTGAAGCGCTTATATGCGCCGCTGGAGTGGTTGACTATGCGTACATCAAGAAACTCAGGTGGTTGATGAAACACAAAATGCCCAAAATTTGGGTCATTCAGCACGTGAAATTCGACCCTTCGGTTTGGCTTCAAGTCCGTCTGCGGAAACACAATGGCCAAGATAGTCGACCTTGCGCCGTCCCCAGACACTTTTCGCCACGCTGATGGACAAATTCCACTCACCACACACGTCCAGGAGCTTGTCTACCTTCTCACACAGCTCGTCCCACGATCTCGCCGTCACAAGAATGTCATCAATATAAGATGGCTTTGCTCTGACTGCTGTTCTATAATTGTTTTCACTTGCTTGAGAAACGCCCGAAAAATCTAACTGCTTGGTTTCCATCTGAGAATTGCTTGATAAAATTCCGCACCCGACTGTATTGTGAGCTGGCATTGCCCCTGATACTACGGTTAAGCAGCATTTAAATTCATACGGAAACTGTTTTATCAATTCTAGAACGACCGCGAGTAGATCCTCACCTCCTGTTGCCAACGCTAGTTTAGTACCAATAATGCTGTCGTTTGTCATCTCTGGTCGACATTCAGTATAGGTTGGGAAGACGTTGAAGGTGGCGGCTGGAATAGACGAGCAATTGAGGCTGTTCTTGGCGATCTGGAATTGGAACAGATGAATTATAACCATAATGGCCCACGATGTCTCGCTTTTTCCTTTCTGCTCAATTTCTTTCTTGAGTTCTGTGATCATCTGTGGAGCCACTGAAAGTGGTAAGATGCTAATCACCTTGAGGATTTCTTCACCTGTACCCGTGATAACGATATTCGGAGATCCCCACTCGTTCACGCCTCCAGTACAGATAGCGCCACTAGCTTCAAGCGCATCCCCGAAAGCTAGAATTTCGTCACTCAATATACTGTAATCCCATGTTGTTTCAGTAAACAAACTTTCAAACATCGGTTAGAGCCTCGTGGTTGACAGCACTGGCCTGTAATAGAGTTCTACGGCAGCGTATGTGACACGGTCCACTACCTCCAGTCTTGACTGAATCCATCTCGTTGAAGGCAAAGTAACTCTCCTTCGCTTCAATGAAGAAAGTACCAGTCGTAAGATAGTCTATGTAAGCAAATATTACCGCTAACATGATTGGCGCCACTACAATTCGTCCAAAGACAGGAAGACACGCTCCAATCACCACCGGTCGTAACTTTGTGCTCAGTCTTTGCTTCTTGTTCAACGGCTTCTGCTGCTCGAAATACAACGTTGCCCATGCCGTGCATTCAATGGAATCGTTAGTGTGGTGATGCTGCTAATACGAACGAAACCAGGAGGTAACTGAGAGAAGAGGATACAAGGTTTGCGATTAAGACATTAAATTTATTTAGTAAGTTGAGTGAGCCGGGAGTGCGCATTCATCCAGTATTTCTCAAATGCAAAGTAGTAGGCCAGCTACTAAACTTAGAATACTCCAGTTTTTTTCTCCTTTTGAAGCGACAAATTATTTATCGAATGCAAAATGGTAGCCCAAACATCTTAAATTTAGCATATTACAGTTGTTTGTTTTTTTCTGAGCCCGTCACAATATTTGTTATTTACTGAGATCTTAAAAGTGCGCATATAGATTTATATGCTTGTCTTACTAAAGCCTCACCAGAAACTTTGGGCAAAATTGTGGCGGGTTTAACCGCTTACAGCTCTTCTTACGCAGCTTGTACATCGCTAACAGAACCGTTCTCCAAAAGCTTGTGCGTTTTGTCGTCGCTGCTTTTCCGTGGAAAAATGACGATTAGAAAAACTTGGACAAAACACAAACACCCACTGATGGTATTCGGCACGATTACATAGTAATCGGTTTCCATGACTCCGTAAATTGACCAAAGTACACCGTTAATGGCACCAGAGATAGCCATGGGGGCTGCAATGACCTCGGAATTCTTCGTCTTGACGACTTCTCCAAGCTGCAACAATGGAGCCCCAAACATGGTAATAGCTAGGACATCTGCACAACAGCCTAGCACTTTGGCGATATCGTCGTCGTCTTGAGAGCTCAGAAATCGGTACAACACCAAAGCGACCGTTATGGTGAAGACGAGAACGAAGAATGCTAAGTAGCGCACGCGGAATTCCTTCTCGTGCACGATACAGACGCCCGAGAAGATTGCACCGAGTATCACGCCGAGACAGTTGATGGCTCCGACGGGGAAAAATGAGTGATCAGCCCAAGAGTAGATAACCCAACCAGCGGACTGGGCATACATCATTGCAAGTGGGTAGTAGTTAACGCCTGCCACACTTCGCTTCTTGTGCGCTGCCCAAATTCCAGGCACCATACTAAGGAAGATACAGGCTGTAGCGATGGTCGCGAGGACGCTGACGATTGTTTCAGCCGTGTCAGACGCCATGGTGGTATTGTGTGGGTATGGTGCTGATAGAGAAATGGGGAATGAGGTCATCTCGAAGTCGCGACTTGAAGCGAGCTGTTGGATCCTGATCTACATTACTATCCAGTACCAGCTTTAGCAACATCACGTAGCATTTGCAGGGATAAAGCATTATGATCGACAGTATGCATAATTTTTCTTTTAACTTTACAAACTGAAGTTCGGGCCTTGAAGTTAACTCCGATTTTTTGTGCGTGATTTGTGGTTGAAGATGT